GGCGGCGGTGGGGATGGCAGCGGGGATGGGGTGCGGGGCGGTGGGGTTCGCGGCGAGCGTGAGGGGCGTGTGGGCGAGGATGTACACGGACGACGAGGGGGTGGGGAGGCTGGCGGCGGCGGCGCTGCCGATTCTGGGGTTGTGTGAGCTCGGGAACTGTCCGCAGACGGTGGGGTGTGGGGTGGTGAGAGGGACGGCGCGGCCGGCGGCGGCGGCGAATGTGAACCTAGGGGCATTTTACTTGGTCGGGATGCCGGTGGCGGTTGGGCTGGGGTTTGGGCTTGGAGTGGGGTTTCGGGGACTGTGGTTGGGCCTGCTGGCGGCACAGGTGTGCTGCGCCGGGATGATGCTTTACGTGGTGGGTACCACTAATTGGGAGTATCAGGCGGTGAGGGCTCAGCTGCTCACGTGCGGGGCTCGATCTGGCGAGAGGGCAGAGACGCCTGCAACTGACGAGAATGACAGCCAACCCTTGATTTGCGATACTGAGGAGTGACAGAGTGACATCGTTTTATTTTTTATTTTTTATTTATTTTTATTTACTTTAGATCATTCGTATTTTATTAAACTTAGGATTTTTTTTATTCATGCAACTCTATTTAAATGCAGCAAGTCAAAATTATGACGTTGTAGTTGACATAGTTGGATGAACTTCATCAAAAATCAAGATAAAACAACTAAATATTTTTTTTGTTTTATATTTAAAAAAAGAAAAACATTTTTTAGTTATCATTATTCTTATAAAACCAGGCATTAAATTATATATAGTTATGTATTCACCTGTGTTTTATAATCAAACATTTAAGACACACATGGATTTATCTATGCGGTATGAAATGCATTTCTTCTGTTTTAATTTCTAGTAACAACTAAATTGACCAATTTTTAAAAAATATACACATATTTAGAACTCATCAAGAATGGTAGAATAAGTTGTGAAATGTATATAAACTTACACCAATCAACACATCTATACTTATATAATAAGGGGTACCATTTACGAAATTTAGTAAGTTGAAAAGTCAATGCAATAAATGCATTACTATTTTGAGCAATATAATATAATATCATATCTGTACTTATATAAAAGTAGATTCTATTTACTACATTTACTGTCCAGAAAAGTCAACTGCATTAAATGTCATTACTATTTTGGTATTATAATATTTTATTTATTTAATTGATTTATTTATTTGTTTTATTTTAAAAAGGTAAGTATAATAAAAAGATTTTAATAATAAAAAAATCAAATACCAAATAAAAATGTACACTTTGACTTATTTGATTATATTTGGTATTTGATTATACCAAATATATTCCTATTTAGTATAAACATTAAATACTTACTAAGGTATTTATTTGTTTTATTTGTCAAAGTTAAGTATAGATTTGTTTATATTATCAAATCATAAAAAAATATTAAATCCATATTGTAAAAAATAAAAAAATCATATAATTTTTATTAGTATAAATATTTTAGTGAGATAATATATTAATTATTTTACAAGCTAACCCTAACATGCTCATATTTAATGTTTTAAAAGATGTAGAAAAAAACTTATAATAACTCTATTGTTTTTTAGACTTAAATATTGATTAAAAGAGGTAAAAATTTCTAATTTTTTAGACTTAAACGTTGATTAACACCATAGATTGAGAGTCTATATTTAGTAAAATTCCTAATTGTAATAATAAAATTAATTTTTGCTATATTTTAAAATATCTTTAAATTCATTATAAAAAAAAAGAAAAAAAAACTACAATGAAAAAAGCGAGTCTGCTATATATCGAGTTGTTGTACTCCTCAAATCACATTCACAATTTGGTTACAAGGAAAGGAAACTCATTGATTAAAATATTATTTTGTTAGTAATCTTAATGTATAAGAGACTTTAAGACTCCACTTGAATATTATAAAATTTTTATTGAACATTGTAGAATTTTCTTGCGTATTATACAATTTTCTTGCGTATTATAAACTTCTATTGAATATTGCATCTTATAATATAATATTCTCCAAATAAATATATCCCGTGCTTCGCACGGGTCACGTACTATATATATCCCGTACATTTTTCTTTATTCATGTATATAATTATAAACTTAGATAAATAGCCTTAAAATTGTACACCTCGTGCATCGCACGGGCTCTGTACTAGTAAGAATTATATGCTGATGCGCATAGATTATGGTATGTGTATTTTTTTTCCTGTTATGTTGTAGTGTGTTTGTATATAGAAAAACTCAATTCATACTCAAAATCTAACTCAATTTTAACTCAATATCATTATCATCAATATTATCTATATAATTACATATATCAACCAATTATTCTTACACGTCACATCAACTTTAATTTACTATTCATTCACTCACATAATTTTAATTAAAGAACACTTCACATCATCTCTTTCCTACTTTTACATCAAATCAATTTTAATTATTTTATTTTAAATATTATTTTAATATAAAATCAAAATCATACTAATAACTAATCATACCACTTTTTTTAAAATTTACTCTAATTAATTAAAAATCCTTAGTTTGAACAGAGTTACTTTCAGCCCATTATTATAATACCAAGTCCAACGTATGCTTTACGTAGTCTGAAGCTCGACTGAGCCCATGAATACCCAATATCCAGTTTCTGACCATTTTCTTCACTTTTTTAAATTGGAAAGTTAAATACGAAATAGCTGAAACATAATCTACTTTTTAGTCTACATTTTCCTACTTTCAAACTTCTTGTGTAAATAATTTTGATAAGAATAACAAAACCCATTGTCTGGCTCGCGACAACATTGTTGTTTCGCGGTTTAAATAATTTGATTCTCATCTCCATCAACACTTCATATTTTCCTCTCTTTATAATTCATCAAAATACATTGCATTATCACTAAGAACACAAGCACAAATTCAAGAACCCTATGAAATTGAATCAGCTAATTAATTGATCACTTGCGCTTGAGAACTGCAAAGAGTTGAGCGCCAATCTCGATGCCTGAGGAGAGCAACATTTGAGCCAAGTCTGTTTTTCGATTGAACGCTCGTTCGAAAAGCTGATGGACTATCTCACTCCCAAAGTGAGCCCCTATGCTTCCTTGGGTGAATGCCCTCAAGTGCCTTATGGCGCTCTCCATGTCTATACGAGCTTTGAGGTCCGGCCTCGCATTCCTCAGTTCTATTTTCACAACATCGAAACACCCATTTTTCTCCACAAGCCGAGTCATTTGCTCAACCCAAGGGTACATGTGAGGGAAATTGAACGTGTCCACAAGATCGTGGTCTAGTAGTCCCTGAAAGTTTAACAACATTTTAAAATTATAAGACTTAAATTGCTGATCAAAATATATAAATTTAGAAATATGTTGTAATTTTAGTCCTCAAATAAATAACTGAAATTGCAGTAAAATATTAAATCACAGGACCAAAAGGCGAAATGTTAGAATCTCGAGACTAAAAATGTAATTTACCCGCTGATAAAAAGATATATAACTTTGAAATTATGTTGCAATTTCAGTCCTCAAATAAAATAACTAAAATTGTAGCAAAATATTAAATCACAGGACCAAAAGGCGAAATGTCAAAATCTCGAGACTAAAAATGCTTTGACGTTAAACCAGCAAGATTAAAAATGCAATTTACACGCTGATAAAAAAATACATAAATTTAGAAATATGTTGCGATTTCAGTACTCAAATAAATAACTAAAATTGCAGCAAAATAATAAATCACATGACTAAAAGGCGAAATGTTAGAATCTCGAGCTAAAAATTATATTAGCTAGTATATATGAGGATTACCTCGTTGACCATGTCCATGAGAATGGAGCCAAGAAAAGTAATGGCTATACCAACATCATGTGGGGTCCGCCGGTCGGCAACCCCAGGCATAATAATCACCACCGCCCCTCCGGCCGCCACCTCATCGCCTCTGGCCTTCAAGAAAACTCCCATGTCCTCCTCGTACTGCCTCTCGTACGCTCTCACCACCGCCTCGTCATCACTCCACGTGTAGTGGATCCTGCCCGGGTTCCACGCGGGCCCGCCCCTTTCCCGGAGCTCCGACGGCGGCCCGGACAGCCAGTGGAGCGAGGATGACGTGTACGCCACGTGTACGGACGATCGGGGGAACAGCCGGCCGTAGAACGAGCCCGGCACGCCCGCCACGTAGCACGATTCTAATTTGGGGAGGGTTGAGAAGAGGGTATTGAAGTCGTTGGCCGGGAGGTCATTGAGGAGGGCTTTGAACTCGAGTTTATCCGGTTCGAGGGCTCCTTGGGAACGGTTCATGTGGCGGATTATCTCGATTATTGCCTGGATGGCTAGGAGGGTGTTGGGCCCGGCCGCGCAGCCCAGGTCTGCTATGTTGAAGGTGGTTGAGCCCAATAGGAGTGTCTTTAAGTCCAGGGTTTCGGTGAGGGCCTCCTTGATGGCTTCCTGGGCCGCGTTCAACCCGTCTCTCTGCCCACAATATGCAATTATAAATTAGCTTATACAGAAAACTGGAA